ATCATATTAATTAATAACAACACATGATAAAATAATTATCCTCCATTAATTCCAATTACTCATATAGAAGAGTAACATATGCAGATATACATTCATAAATCAACCTCTAAATCTATAACATATGTTACGAGATAAGGAAATAGGATGAACATAAACAAATGGGATAACGCCCTAATGGCTATAATTTTCCAAGACGATACTTGGTTACAATAAAAATGAATTTTAAACTCAATACAAATAAAACCCTAGACTTGTACAAAAATAATTACAACAAGTAAACAAAATGAAGCTCTTGCTCCAAGTCTTCCTAAGCTATTGTCTTGGCAGAGGCATATAATCAGCACCTGAAAATGGTTTTCCACATAAGGTGAGCCAAAAACCAGTAGAGATACTACAACGCAGTTTATGGATCTTAACAAAGTCATAAGGTGAGTGCATATGCAATGCTCATGACAAAAATTTTATCTCTCTTTCCAGAAACCATGCAGTATTAAGGCCAAGTTTGGAAAGACTAAAAAAGTGCACTTTTTGTCTTTTTGGACTAAAAAATTGAGGTTGAAAATATGGATGTTTGGGTTAACTTTTTGAATTTTTATTGAAAAATGTGTAATAAAAAATTGTAAAAATTGATTTGTAGGGAAAAATTTGAATTGGGAGTTGTGCAGCCGTAATTGTTGACTCTTGGTGAATAGTGTTAACTTTTTAGCTTTTTGAGTAACTTTTTGGCTTTTTAGCTTTTTTGGATCTTCCCAAACTTAGCCTAAGTTTATATTACAATTCATAAAACATTTCCTTTTTCAATAGAAAACAGGACTGTGAATACAACTCTATGAATCTCTAACTACGTGTCTGCAAATAGACTATACAAGTACCATCAATTTGTCATTTTTACCGATATTAGCCAGAAGGCTCGACACCTATTTGCACGGGTTTTTGGTCTTTTACCAAGGACATACAGGCTAACTTAACATCGTAACCACACCCCTTATCCAAATTACCAAGTATTCAACTTTTTTTTTCTTAAAACAATAAATATTTTCAATGTGTTAATATGCAACAATACCCAATGCAAATGGATGAGAACATAGTTTTAATTATCCTAGTTCTTATGTAATTTTTACAAAAATCATAGTTATCCTTCACTAATATGTCAAAATAGATATCTCTAAACAGAAAAATAATTTCTATAAAGGTAAACTTTTCGAAAATCTCAAGATGGAAGTGATAATACATATCCAACTCCACCATCCTCATCAACATCAATCCAATTCCACATTTCCAACATCAATTTCATTTATCATTACAAAATCAACATTTGATATTCTTAGGGCAAAATTTTCTTTCCTTTATAAATTAATTTCAAAGATAAAAATCCATCATTTCATCATAACTCAACAATAAATACATTTTGTCAATCTTTCCAACAATCCATTTGAAAAATCCCTATTTTGATTTTTAACCCAAAACCCTAGATTTGTCTAAAATCCCCAAATCATAATATTGTTTTAGAAAATGACAAATAACTAAGTTAAAAATCATAAGAAAGTGCGGAGAATCCCTACCTCAAACTTGGAAGACAAGAGAAGGGATGGAGAAACTTTAACAAAGCCGAAACCCAGCTTTGCTCCCATCAAAAGGAAGCTCACGGAGTGTTCTACTTTTTTATCAAATGGATACGGGTGAAGAAATCAATTGATCTAGGTGTATTTGTAAAGAAAATGTGAGTTTTAGAGAGAGAGGGTGTCAACTTAGAGTTTTTAGAATGTTTAGAGAAAGAGAGATATGAAAAAGTGAGCCAAAAATGTGACTTTACGGATTGATATACGTGCAGACCGCTTGAGTGCAAGAAGTGCCGCTTGAGCGACTAGACACAATAAGTGAGACCGCTCGAGCGACGAAGTTTACCACTCGAGCGAATAATACAAACTCTTAAAAGTTTTGCAGACAGAAGACCACTGCTTGAGCTCAATAAAAACCACTTGAGCGAACACCACTCGAACGCAAGAAATACCGCTCAAGCGAAGAATGCCAACTCCCAATATCTCTGCAGGCCTGCAAAAGTACTAGAGATATGAAAAAGTGAGCCAAAAAGGTGACTTTACGGACTGATATACGCACAGATTGCTTGAGTGAAAGAAGTGTCGCTCGAGTGACGAAACACAATAAGTGAGACTGCTCGAGCGACGAAGTTTACCACGCGAGTGAAGAATACAAACTCTCAGAAGTTTTGCAGACAGAAGACCATCACTCGAGCTCAAGAAATACCGCTCGAGCAAAGAATGCCAACTTCTAGTATCTCTACAGGCCTACAAAAGTACTAAGGGTTCTAAAAGACCACTTGAGCATAAGAAATGTCGCTTAAGCGAAGAAGTCGAAATCTGGGATTGGACTATTTTGAAAAACTAACCCCTGATCTATTCCAAAAGCAACCAAGACATTCCAATAACCAAACTTAATGAGGAATAAGGAGAATAAGACATGTACAACTATATAAGACAAAGAAACCCTGATTCAGAACATCAACGGGTTGGGTCTAAACCAGAATCGCTATAATGCACACACAAGGGTGATGTTAGCCCATGCTTGATGGGGTCTCATCCCCCCATCAAGCAAACAAAAGTTCAAAAAAAAAAATTGTTGTTAATATTTTATTTTATATAATTTTGTTCTTTTAAAAAATTAAGGATTCCATCAAATTAAAAAAATAAAAAATAAAAAATGTTCAATACAATGGTGATACTATCTCATTGACATCATCATCTAATAACATCTTGTCATATACCTTCTCATGTTTATGTGAAAAGGATCAGGTTTCTCTTCAGTCTAAGATCGGACTAAAGCATGCTATTAGGCCTATAGGGGCAATCACGAGTTTTGTTTTGATAATCTAAACCGTTCAATGTATAGAACTCGTCGAGTGCTTTATCTCTATAAAAAATCACATTGATTGGATATCGATAACTACTTGATCGAATCAGATATCTATCAACGATAAATATAATTTTCAAGATAAATTGTTGACAAATCTGATCCATTAAGTAACTATCGATATCCAATCAACGCGATTTTTTATGGGGATAAAGTACTTGATGAGTTCTATACATTAAATGGTTTGAATTATCGAAACAGAACCTGTAATGAGCCCCACAGGTCCAACATTACCGTCCAATCCATAACTTGGCCTATGTGGAAATGTAATATTATGAGGGTGGGGTTCACCCTCCTCATGCAAGTTTATTATTGGTAGCTAATAATAGTGACATGTATTATCGTAACGCTGAATTTTTACCATGTTTGGTAAACAATTTTTAAAATAGTTTTTTTACCACGTTGTTTATTTCTCGTGTTGTTTTTAAAATAATTTTTTTAATATTTTAAGCATATTTTCTTTTACTTTTTAAATTCACATAATCTAAATATACTTAAAAAATAAAAATTTATATATATTTTTTAAAAATAGCAAACATAAAAATTATAAAAATTTAGTACATTTTTCACAAATATTTTATTTTTTAACTGCATCAAAAAAATGACTCAATTATAAAAATTTAAAAAAAAATTTACTAAAGACAACAAAATATAAGGAAAAAAAAAAAACACTCAAAAGCTATTTTTAAAAATTCGAAACCAAACATAATAAATGTTGTTTAGTAAAAATAAAGATTGTTTTTAAAATTTGTACAACTTAAGCTTACAAGGTGATTCCATCTATAAAAAATTTTGAAGTCGCTATTGTGTATATATTCTAAGGAGTTATTTGAGATGAACTAAATAAGTATACTTTTGATTTTTTATAAAAAAAAAATGTACAAAAAATTAAAGAGATGATATGATCTAAATAAGTGTTTTTATCTAAATAAATACATTTATTTATGTCAAATAATGCCCAAATGTGTTTAGTAATATAATCCTAAACATCAATCTTTGTTGATTGTGTTCACCAATATCCAGTCATCTACTCAAGGTCCAATCAATTACTAATCAAGAATATAAATTAAACTTTAAGTCATTCATGAAGAACTCAATTCATTTGCCTTCTTAATCCTACAAAAATGCAAGTGAAAGAGTATAAAATTATCAAAGATTGTGTGGAAAATTAAACTTTACCATAAATAATAAAAAAAAAGGACATTCTTTTATGTTTCCAAACTTTTAAAGATTCCTGAAACCTAAATTATATTATCATCCAAAAATCAAACTTATTTTTGGCCTCTCTCGTGAACAAAGTAACAAGTTATATTTTTTTTGCTTTTAACTTATTTTGAGTTACATTACATCTCTATTTTTTTACATATTCTTTTTTTTTTAAAAAAAAAACCAAAAACTCAGGTGTGTTTAGTTTGTATTTTGAGAAAAATTTAAAAAAAAAAAAAATTGGAGAGAGAGTTTACAAACTTTTTTAGCTTTTTTTTTTTTTTGTATATTTTGAAAATAACAGTTTGAGTCCTTTTGGCATGAAGGTTTGGTTGTCTTGGGGCTATTTTAATTATAAAAAGGTAAAATAGATTTTTTAGTTGAGTAAGATAAAATGTCACATCCAAATCATAATCATTTTATTTTTTTTCTTATAAAAGTAAAAAAGTTCATCTTAAATGCGGCTTTTTAACTCCAGACTAAAATAACTAAAAAACCAAAAAATTAACTCACATCCCAAACGAAGGCTTTGAGAGTTTGAGATGATTTGATATTTTGTTATAATTGAATAAATGTGTGTGAAAGAAAAAATAATTGATTGATACGTAGGAGAGAGAAAATAATTTTAAATTTTTTCAATAAATTTAAAATAAACAAAATTTTAAATTTTTTTCTTAAAAATTTTACTTTGAAATACAAACTAAACAAACTCTTAATTTTTAATCAATTTTCCAAAACAATGCTTTATAATATTTGAGGTGGTGAAGTAAAGCCTTCGTGGTGCCGTTTGGAACTTTCCCTCATCGTTTTCGCGCGGTTGGTGAGTCAGAATAAAAAAATAAAAAAAAAAACTCCCAAGTGGTTGATGACGTGTCGAGCTGTCTTTAAAAGCTATCCAACCCATTTCAAACCAAATCATCACCAACACAACACATTATTCTCTCTCCGTGTGGCTGGGTTTTCGGTTTTTCACTATCATACGCCGAAGCGCACATATTATCACTTTTTATTCATTTCGTATGTGATTTTCGTTCTCAATATGCTCAATTCGATTCAAACTCATTCCTCATTCTAAAAAGGAATTTCAAAAAAAAAAATTTACAGTATTTTTGGAACAATTTTCGGTTCTAACTCAGGCAACACAATAATCAACCAAAGTCTTTGCGTTTCCTAATTTTGCAGTTTGATTAGTTTCTGGCTCACGTTAGCAGAAGATCGGAGCGCAAGTTAGCAGTGCTGCTGCGGCGGCGGAGGAGGCACATTTCTCACTCGCTTCGCTGGTTCTTCAACTTTCCGTTTGCGCATTTTACAGGTAATTTTTCTTCTCAAAACGCTCAATTCGATTCAAACTCAATCATCAAATAAATAAATTTACGGGACCAAATTTTCGGTTCCAAACCAGACAATCCATTCAACCATTTTTTTTCCTTCTGTAATTTGCAGTTTTTAATTAGTTTCCGGCGCACGTTAGCAGGAGAGGCTGCGCAATTTAGCACGGCGCCGGCGGTGGGAAGTAGGAAGAAAATGAAGATAGAAGTGAGGGAATCGACGATGGTGAGGCCGGCGGAGGAGACTCCGGCGGTGAGGCTGTGGAACTCGAACGTGGACCTGGTGGTGCCGAGTTTCCACACACCGAGCGTCTACTTTTACAGACCGAATGGTTCGATCAACTTCTTCGATGCACAGACGATGAAGCTAGGGCTGAGCAGAGCGCTCGTGCCGTTCTACCCCATGGCGGGGCGGCTCGGTAGAGACGAGGACGGTCGAATCGAAATCGATTGCAACGCCGAGGGAGTTCTGTTCGTGGAGGCGGTTACGGAGGCGTGTGTTGATGATTTCGGAGACTTCGCACCGACTCTGGAGCTCCGGCAGCTCATTCCGACCGTCGATTATTCCGGAGGGATTTCGTCGTATCCTCTGCTCGTCTTGCAGGTTCGCCTTCCCTGTTCTTTACTCTTTTTCAAATGGGTTATGTTTTAAAATTTAGGGTTAATTATAAAAAAGGAATTAAGATTTGATGCGTTTTTTATTTTAAATTTCAGTATTTTAATTTCGATAAATTATATTTTAGAATTTTATTTGTGTTTTAATTTATTCCTTCTGTCTATCCGTCTGTGTAAAAAAAGGTAAGTATTTAAAGCAAAAAAGTATTAATCCGGTTGGGAAGTGGGTTGATTTTTTAATTTTTTGACTTTTTTAATTATTTTAGTCTGAGTTAAAAAATTTGATTTGGGAACGATTTTTTGGCTTTTTAACTTTTTTTGTGAGAGAATAGTGTAGTGATTATGGGTTGAAAGTAATGTTTTGTTTGTTGTGGATAAGGCCAAGTTTGACATATTATAAAAAAGGTAAAAAGTCAAAAAGTTACTCAAAAAGTTAAAAAGTTAACACTATTCACCAAAAATTAACAATTACGGCCGCACAATTCTCAATCCTAATTTTTCCCTATACACTAATTTATAACAAATTAATTTTTATAATTTTTTATTACACATTTTTCCATAAAAGTCAAAAAATTAACCTAAACATCCATATTTTCTTTCTCAATTTTTTAGTCCAAAAAGACAAAAAGTGCACTTATTTAGGACACTCCAAACAACCCCTAAAATAACCTATTTTGTCTTTTGTGACTAAAATAACCCTAAACCTCCTTGCCAAATGGAGCTTAAAGTTTAAATTAAAAAATAAGTGAAACTTTAAGGTTATTTTGTGATTAACTTTTTTAAAAAATAGTTAATTACACAAAAAATCTCAAAGTTTCATGTATTTTTTTATTTTTAATCTCAATGTTTTTCTTTTTAAACCCCTTTCGTTATTTTAGAAAAGCGAAGATGGACAAATGAGGCAAAGTGAAACACTAATGGAATTTCAAAATTTATGAGTCGTTTGGCAAACTTGGTTTTTTGGTTTTTTTAACTTTTTTAGCTTGAGACTTTTTTGTTCGTTTAGTTTTCTTGTTTGGTTTTATTGGTTTTTTTGCATTGGAATGACAAAATTGCCCACTTGGAAATGATGCTTTATTGACTTTTTGTTTGTATATGGGTCAATTTGATAATTTTGCATCAAAAGTCAAGTGTTTTGTCATGTTGTGATTTTGTGACTTTTTTTTATCCTCATGTGTTTATTTAGTCCCTATGTATTTATTTAGTCCCAATATGTTTACCAAACCAAGGCTTAATTTGTTGAAATTGAAAAAGTGGGCTTAAAGTAAAAAATGCATGAAACATTTGAGATTTTTTTTTTGTTATTAACCGTATATATATATATATATATTTTAATTTAGTCCTAAAATTAATTTATATTTAAAATTAAACAGAAATATCACGTTAACTGTCATATAACATAAAAAAAATGTTATTGTATCGCGATTTGGATTTGAATTTGTATTAGAAGCGTGCATTACATATAATAAAATATTTTTATACTATATAACTGTCAATGTGTCATTTTCTATCTAATTTTTAAAATAAGTTAGCTTTTGAAGTAAGTTAGGAAAAGCTTTAAACTTAAAAGGCTAAAACAAAATTTTAAGAGCTAAAGTAGAAAAATGATCAAACATAAAGGATAAAGAGCAATTTACCTTTTTAAAGTTAGTTATTGTCCCGTTTGATAGAGCTGTGGGAGAGTGATTATAACTCATAGCCTAACAGCTTATAACTTATAACTTATAACTGTAAACATAAGCTAATTTTTGATTTATAAATTAAGCTTCTTCTCCCCCACTCAAAGGATAAAATTGATTTTTGACTTACAAAAAGCTATAAGCTGTATTATTAAACTGAACCAAACACACCAAAATAGTTTAAATTAAGCTAAAAGTTAAAATAAGATGAAAATAAACCCTATCAAATAGGGCCAATTTGTTGAAATTATCAATGAGATTGTTTCGTAAATTAAAAATTCATAATAGAAAAATCAAAATATTTTTTTGGTAGTACCAATCCGTCTTTTCAGCCGGCATTTTCGATATTCTTAAAGGTTTTTGTTACTCATTTTTTAAAGAAAATTATGAACTATAAATCAAAGGAAAATGTTAACGACAACCGGTGTTTAAAAAACTTATTAAAATATATAAAATTATGCAAAAATGTTTTGAGAGGTGTAAAAGGTTGTTTGAGATATTTATTTATTTATATGGCATTTGCCTTCCCTTATTGACCTAAATGGAAATTTTATTAATTTCGTAAATAATGCTACAATGACTAGGGGCGGAACAGACATATAATATTTAAAACTTTTTTTTTTCCTTTTTCATGCATTTTAATACATGTATTTTGTTTATTTGCCATTTGTCATTTTTAAAAGAAAATTTTGATACTCCTAAGTTGTTTGTATCACCCTTGCAAATTTTTTTCAAAACTTTGAACTGATTGGATTTTCTCCTTTGATTGTCATTTGATACCCCTAAAAAAATCATTTGGGGCTATGTTTGGTATGAATGTTTTGGGTTAAAATAGTTACAAAAAGACAAAATGAGCTAAAAAAATTAATAAGATAAAATGTCATATTCAAATCATAATCATTTCATTTTTCTCTTACAAAAGTCAAAAAAAATTAAAAAGTCTATCCCAAACCAAGCTTTTTAATCCCAGATTGAAATGGTTAAAAAGTCAAAAAACAAACCCACAACCTTAGTTGTTGATGTGAACTCCCTCCACTAATATTGACGACCTATCCCAACCAACTCTACCAAAGTTTATAATTAATTCTATTTTATTGTATATACAGAGTGGGCTCTTAAAAGATTTTCAAAGCAATGTCGATAGTATCATCTAAAATTCAAATCCCTTTTAATAGATTGCACATTTTTGAGATATTGGATTATCTAATTTGGAATTTTTTGAGTAAAAGATACTCTATGAAATAAAAAATTTGAAGAAAAATTTAAAAAATATTTACCAAAAACGAAGAAAAGAAGCTTATAAAACTATTTTGTCAATTAAATCCATTTTGGTAATTTTTAGTGAATTTCTCAATTTTTCTTCAGAGATGATTGAAGGGAAAAAAAAAAGCAGATCAGAAATGTTACTTTCAAATAATAGTAATAAATACCCTAACAAAAATTTCATAATGACTATATTTATATACTATAAAGTATTTATCATTTTCCAGCATCATTGCTAACACAAATGAGGGGTGGGCTCATTTAAACTAATGCAACGATAATACATGATACAGAAATATGGTTATTGCCATTATCGTAACTTTGTTGATGCTAATTCTCAAAATAAAAATTAGTGAAACATCCCTCTCAAACTTCGTGTAGTAGGAGAGATCCAAAATATTTTTTTTATTAGCTAAAATCCCTCAACATTTTCACAGAGAAAATTCAACTTAGAGAAATTTCACTCTACTCAGAGAAATTTCAGCATGGACTAAGAGAAATTTCGAAATTTTTCTATGAAATCAGAGAAATTTGTTTGAGTCGAGCAAATTTCTCCGAGTCGAATTTTCTCTATAGAAATGTTGAGGGACCTGAACTACTATAAAAATATTGTATGCCATTTATCTTATAAAATCTTAATATTATGGATCTTAAAAAAATTCCCCCATAAATTGCACTAAACAAACCCAATAGACTTAATTATGAGCCTTGACTTGTTAGACGTGCTATCTAGAAGTTATCTTGGTTACATATGGACATAATACAAATAGAATTTCCCCTGTATAGATCCATATTTTAAAAAAAATTATTGTGTGCATTAAAATCCTCCATTGTGATTAATTAAAATAATGAAATAAATCATATTCAAAGTAATATTTTTGGGACAAATAATCAAACTTTATTAGAAAAACATCAAGGCAATGCAAATAATACAAAGAAAACTAAACCAGCCCACCTCAGGCAAAACAAACTAATTAATCAAATCATCCACAAAATCTACAAAAATCAAAACGTCAGGATTAACCGAACCCGTAACCCAACTATGTAACACCAAGAGAAACCTACTTTCTAACCAACGAATTGAGTGACACACATCCTGAAACCACGCCTGTTACGCTCCAGCCAAACCAACCAGAGCAAACGATGAGAAGCAAGTAACCAAACCTTCTGATGCCTTTTCCCCACCCCAACTTTGTAATACACCCAACACAGATCCCGACTGTACCCAAACCAAACCGAACAAAGCAACAATCAAACTCCATAACCAAAATGGGACCGGACAATAAATAAGCAAGTGATTCACTGCCTTCGCATTTAAATCATATTTAAAGTAATGGACTACATTGTTTTTAACCAATCATATGGATGATGGCTGTAAAAACTGCACATAAAATTTCATTTTATAATTTAATTCCAGTTAATGGGAGAGAGTACAACACTATTTGCTTGGTGGTGGGTCCAACATAGAATATTATGCTCTGTAACTAATGTGAAACAATATATAGGTGCTCTTATGATTTGATTTAGCATTATATTTTGCTGTATATGTAGGTTGAATTTGTACCATTAAGAGCAAGTAGTCATTGATGAGGGGAGTCTATTGGTTGGGTGAGAGATAAAGTCACCTTTATCAACACCGCGGACATATGTCATAAATATGCTTCAGAATTATTGAATAAGTTTTAGTGTAATATAGTTTATTGACCTTATAATTGATACCTAAATACTACTAACATCCTACAAACACACTCGCCCACTGTTATACGCAACTTGAAGGGGACCTTGTGGGGCCAAGGTTTTTCACACCACAAAAAATAAAAATAAAAACTGAATTTTGGGATGAAAAGGTGACTGTCGATACAATGATTCAATGAACAGTTCAAGACATATTGGTTTGGCTTGCGAAAGAACAGATAGTTATTGAATGGTTGGTTATTTGATACAGTATAGCCACGAAAGCTACTTGTGTCGGGGGGAAAGCCCCTTTTGTGAGTAAAGTCCCTTTAGATATAGGAAAAACAACCTAGATGCTTTATTGAGAGATTTCGGCACCACTGAGAATTCTCTAAATTTTGGGATGAAAAGGTGATTGTTCTATACAATGATTCAATGAACATCAACTTGAGAATACGTAGATTCCCACAAAGAAGGACAGGATAAGGAAGAAAGAATGCACTTCACCATACTAGGGTCAGACAAATACAACCTAAAAAGTATGCAGGATCCATAACTAAATCTGGGGTACAAACTACTAACAACAAATATAGCTAAAGAAATTGTGTCCTGTTTTTCTTTTACATCAGGAACTACCATAGCTGAAGAAGTAATGGTTGGGTTTGTTCATTGAATATGATTTCTATTCACACTTGTGTAGATATGATGCCTCACATATGCTCTGTCACTTCACTTGATCTTATTGGCTTGTGGTTATGTATCACTTGAGAAGGTGTGTGGCACGTGGATTATTAACTACGATGGCCCTAGTGATACTGTCTTGTATAGGAAGTGCAACTATTAGGGGTCAGAAAGGAAGCTTTGTGAATTAATGTGATGGCTTTGTTGTTATGTTACATGTATTTTTCAAAATAAATTATATATTATCATTATATGTATATTATTATTTTTTAAAAAAATTTGATTCATATATGATAAGTGGGGGAGAAAGCCTTACTAAATACATGCAGGTAGGGTATTTGTCAAAAAAAAAAAAAAAAAACACGCAAGTAGGGAGAGTCAAACCACTGACTTTCTAATAAGGTACACGAGTTCTGACCAATCAAATTAGTCCCATTGGTTGTTATATGTATATTGTTATATAAAAGCTATAAAATTAGTAAAATGTAATTTTAAAAACTATGTTACACCATTTCACTTTACATAATAGATTAAAAATATAAAAAGCTCCGAGGAGTTGGCCTAGTGGGTGCAAATTGGAGCCTGGGGGTGTGCTCCCCCCAAGTCTTAGGTTTAGGGCCACACCCGCAGGCTCTACTCGAGATCTGCCCGATCCATGTGGAGGGAGCGCTTTGTGTGGGTCTCAGAATTAGTCGAGGTGTGCGTAATCTGACCCAGACACCCGGTCATCAAAAAAAAAATAAAGATTAAAAATATAAAAATATGACCCATTTTGGCCATGTATTTCTCTTTAATTTGAGATTTGATAGGTCCAACTTTTACATACGCCCCATGCCAACATTTGTACCTGAGGCTTGGTGATTATAACTCTCTCTCTCTCTCATGGTCTGTCCCTCTATGACTAGATCAAGTGTCTCATGATTTGAGGATTTATCTTCAATGGTGTTAAATAAAAATAAAAAAAAAAACTTTTACAATATTAGAAAATGTAAATTAGAATATTACAATTGACATATTGAAACTGATATTTTATAATCATTATTATTATTGTTATTATTATTTATGAAGCTGCAAATCAAATTGCAAGATATTGAATGCTTTGTGGGCATTGAATACTACAGGTCCTATTTCATTGACAGCAGCTCATGGTGTATGTGATTTAACACGAGAGTTGGCATTGAGCTTCGCAACTGTTACTTATTGCTGCTGAACTAATTAGCTGGCAACTGACTTTTATGTTTAAACATATGCCTGATGTATTAAACACATTAGAACCCCAGACTTTTTTGCTCCAATTTCATACTATATACCTAAAAATATAGGAACGTTAAGAAGTTTTTTCTCATACAGATGAGGTAAAAGGGTTTATAGCTGCATGCATATTTATGACAGGTCGACCCATAAAATGCACGCTCACAATTTGTTATAGGTTATCAACAGGCCAGATTGGAAAGGTCCAAAATGTTTTGTAGTTGAGTTAGCTGTCCAAAAAAGAAATGTGGTTGGTCATATTCATGGTCATTAAGTGCAGAGTTGTCCTAGAAAGTTTTCCCTCATCTCCCGTCATAGCATGACGCATGAGCATCAGGATTGGGTTAAGAATTAAGATTAAATATATTAAAGTTAAGTCAAAATTTATTTCAGTTCGTACAGTCTTGACTCAAATTTGACAGGTTTGTAACTGAAAAATGATTGTTAGCGGCAAGAGTCCTGGGAAGAAACAGGGCCTGATAGATTGCAAGTGAAACTCGTAGTTAATTCTCCAAAGGCCAGAACTCATCCGAAATCATATGAATTTTAATCAACTCTTGAGGGTCATAAACCACATCTAAACGACCTTGAAATTGATCAAATTAAGCAACCCAACCCTAACATGTCTCAGCATGCCCATGCTTATGTTTATTTCTTACTCCTTAATCCTTGTCATAGAAACATATATCTACAAGCTAGAAATGAAAGCTAACATATTCCTGGTAGGTTAATAAATCACTGCAAGTTGAAATTGCAATGACATGGTTGTGGATGGGGTGATTTTCAGTGATGGATTGGTTCTTCTGAATGACAATGAATTCAAGCATATTTTATGACTTTTGAATTTATTAAGTTGTTATTTGGCTGATAACTCAAATGTGTTTTAAGTTAGGTTCAGCATATCTATTGGATTGAGTTCAAACTGCTGGACTTGAACTTGATTATAACTCTTTTTCCTAATTCAATAATCATCACAAGCTTAATATGACATTTGCTTTGTCATTGATCAGGTGACATACTTCAAATGCGGGGGTGTATCACTTGGTGTAGGTATGCAACACCACGTGGCAGACGGAGCTTCTGGTCTCCACTTTGTCAACACATGGTCTGATATGACTCATGGTCTTGATCTCACGATCCCACCATTCATTGACCGGACCCTCCTCCGTGCCCGGGACCCACCCCAGCCTGCTTTCCGCCATATTGAATACCAGCCCCCTCCTTCCATGAAAGCCCCTTCCCAATCAACAAAACCCGAATCAGTCCCCGAGGCATCAGTTTCCATTTTCAAATTAACCAGAGACCAACTCAACGCTCTCAAAGCCAAGTCGAAGGAAGATGGAAATATGGTAAATTACAGCTCGTATGAAATGCTTTCAGGACACGTGTGGCGCTGTGTGTGCAAGGCACGGGGACTCCCAGATGATCAAGAAACCAAGTTGTACATTGCGACAGATGGACGGTCCAGACTTCAACCTGCACTCCCACAAGGCTACTTTGGCAATGTGATTTTCACTGCCACCCCTATGGCTGTGGCCGGTGATCTTCAATCAAGGCCAACATGGTACGCTGCCAGTAGAATTCATGATGCATTAGTGCAGATGGACAACGATTATTTAAGGTCAGCTCTCGATTACTTGGAACTACAACCTGATTTAAAGGCCCTTGTTCGTGGAGCCCATACTTTTAGGTGCCCAAATCTTGGGATAACAAGTTGGGTTAGGCTGCCCATTCATGATGCTGATTTTGGCTGGGGGCGGCCTATTTTTATGGGACCCGGTGGGATCCCTTATGAAGGTTTAGCATTTGCATTGCCAAGTCCAACCAAAGATGGAAGCTTATCAGTGGCGATTTCGCTGCAAACAGAACACATGAAACTCTTTGAGCAGTTCTTGTACGACATATAAAGGATTGAACCACCTGAAAACCCGGTTGATTTCGGATATGCCCAAAAAACAAAAAAACAAAAAGGGAATTGGTGGTGGTTTTCTTGCGTAGTTTTTTCATTACATTGTTTACGATGGGCTTTTTTATTTTTTTATGTTTTATGTTTTATTTTTATTTCAGTTGAAATGTGTATGAAATTACAACAGGGATAATGCAATGTGCATATAAGGAACTTGAGTTCATTGTATTACTAATTTGAAATTGAACTTCTTACAATTATAAATTTTGTTAGATTTTATACAGCTATATATATTTTTATAAATTTTAGATGAATGTGACAAGTGGTGAAGCTTGGTTTTGGAATGGATTCACTTTATGAAGCTTTAGGTTTAATTGCATAGGCATGTAGAGAATTAATGCTTTGGAGATGGACAAGGATTAATATATAATACATTATATAATTTTTTTGATAACTTGGTATCCGCCATTGGACCAACTAATTTGAGGGATTAATCTCACCGTCCACTCGTGATTGAAGTATGGGCAAAAGCCCCGTATGGACTAGTTTTAAGAAATTATTGCACTTAGAAAGTTTTAAACCTGAGACTTTGGAGGGAGTACACACGCAAGTCCTAAGCCTTGATCACTAGGTCAACCCGTTAGAGTTTATGTAATACATTAATTGCAAGGGCAAATTTATGTAATAAGTGCTTTTTTTTTCTTCTTCTTCTAGCAGATGGTGGCCCTATTTAGTGCAGCTTATTAGAGTTAGTTATAGCTCTCTCTTTTTTTCTTTCTATTTTGAAAAGTCAGATTGTTTGGTGAAACTTCTCCTTATAGCTTACGAGCCAAAATAGCTCTAAGTAAGTTGCAAATTGTTTTTTGATAAATAAGTTGGCAAAAAAAAAAAAATTTGATTAACTAGAAGCAGAGATACTTTTAATTTTTGCTTTACGAAACAGGCTCAGTATGGTCCAAATACATAAATACAAAGAGTAATACATCATTTGGCAACCACGTCCATCACGTAAGTGCAATAAATGATTGGTTAATTACATTACAGTGCCATAATCCTAGTAAAAAAGCATTGAAATTGTAGTCCTAGCAGAGCACAGGAAAGCTGAATAGCAACTAAGAGAGAAAAACCTAGTGTGAATGTCAAAAAAACCTCAACTTTTAAACTTCTCTACCATTAATGCTAAAAATCCACCTCGAGAAATCAGAAGACAAAAACAAGGACCAAACCAAGGCCGGCATACAGGTTGCTGGTTGAGATCATGAAGAAAAGGGACCCCTTCAGTAATGCTGCTGCTGCTGCACTTCTTTGCGGCCGGTGATGAACTATGTTTGCACCACCATAAGATCCCTTCCCTTTCTGTGCCTTTCTCAAGAAATCCTTTACTTTCTTTAACACATCCCTTCTTGATCCGTTGTTGTCTCCATCCAAACTAGTTGTCCCATTTACACCTGCACACACACGATACATACACACACACACACACACATATATATATATAGAGAGAGAGAGAGAGAGAGAGTGAAAATGAATTCAAACCACGCAATTTTGAGCTTTTCTTATAGAAACACCAAAAGAGTTCTTGGTTTTTACCATTAACTTCTTGTTCTTGCATAAGGTGTTTGGAATTTGTTTCATGAGCCAAACTTGAAAGGGCTTGAGCACATAATAGGATGATAATGAATAGCCACCCCAGAAATTTTCTCTCCATTTTCCTTGGGCACTATATATATGTATGTGTGTGTGTGTACTTGGTGTTAGGTTTGGGTTGTAGGATAGGGACAACCTATTTGGATGGGTGAAATTACAAGAATGAGCTTTTGAAGAAGAGAATTCAAAAGAGTGGCTCTCATTATGACAGCCAAAGGATAATGTTGCAGAGGATCTAATCTTTACAAATTTACAACTAAAACAGTCATTAGAAAACATGTTTAAGGAATTATACAGAGTAATTGTAGTGTCAACTAGGCTATATAATTCAAACCGAAGCATTTGAATTCTAGTGTTTTTTATGGGTTACCTAGCCATTTGGTTAGTTCTTAAAAACTACTTTATTAGTTGCTAAGTGTTCTAAGCTAAAAGGTGAAATCTAATAGTATTCCTCTCTTTGACTTCAGGATAATTAGTTTTTTTCAACTTACTTATTCTATTTTACATGCATAAAGCAGAAGTTCCAACAAATGATTTGACACATACTCCCATTTTTTTTTTTAAAAAAAAAAAATCGTAAATAACTCATGGAAATTCTTCTTGACATTCTAGTCATTTTATGGTAACTTTATATATATATATATAGATTGTAGCATGTGGAAGGTAGCTAGTAGTATAATTGAAACTTTGCAGGTCCTGATCATAAAATAGAAAGCAGTGTATGGTCTAAGGGGACACATCTCTGTGTATGAATACTTGACAGTGTGCTCAAATTCACAGTTTAAAGTAGGTTCCTGTTGCTTCATTTCCTCAACTTTGGCATGAAAAGAATCTCTCTCTCTCTCTCTCTCTCTCTTGTTTGCTGCTAAAGCAGAAAAGAGAAGATGTGACAGATCTACATAATGGAACTGTGGAACAGACCAAATCTATCATTTTGTGGGTGCTAGAATGAAGGATAAAGCTAGATTATAAGGAAGTGAATGACTAACTAATTGACTAATCTTGTTGTGCTTGTTGATTAAGTTTAATACGAAGGAATCAGATGCCTAGTTTTCTTTCTTCACTTGTACTACTTCAAATGGATCATGTCAAAGATCGCGTGAAATACAAATTTCCTTTGCGACACAACTTGGATGATTGTGTGAATTGATATCGAGCATAGCAATGCGAATTTTTGTAGAGAAACAATGACCCTAAACTAAGTTCATTTGTTTTTTTCTCAACTGGGTGGAGGTGAAATTCTCTCTTTGCCAGTTCTTTTCCCATTTGATATGCAAGCGAGTCTCACTTTGAGCCTGCACTTGCTGCACGAGGCCTTAGCACAAAGTTCAGTGTCTGAAAACTCACTCACTATGTATAATTTGGGAGTCAAAATACGATCAATATGACATTGCAAAAAATGTGTCACAGTTTTCATCATGTGACATGTTTGTAATAGTAAACTGAATATTTAAGGTATGCACCAAAAAAACTGAATATTTAAGGTAGCCTCTGGCGGTATAAGTTGGAGTCACGAAAATAGTATAAGTTCGAGTCACGAAAACAGTCCCTCTAATAATGGATAATAATGGGTAAAATTGAGTATACTTTATTCTTTCTAGACCCTATAATAAGCCGAATACACAGAAGAGATAAGGTCGTATCTTGCTCTTCCTAGACCCTACAATAGTAGGATATTCAAACATCAGGTTGCTTCTTTTTCCAAAAAAATTTAATAGGTTTTTTGAAGGCTTAAAAGCTATTGTACATTTTGGGGAATCTTTCTTCACAAAAGCATATTACAATGGAAGTGATGATTCATTTTTAAAAGTTATTGCAATGAAGACAAAGCATTACATTCATTACATCTCAGAGATTTACATAATTTGGATGGGTTTTGTCACTAATACAAAATTCCGTTTAGTAAGTTTAACGCAGTGTGCAAGAATTAGTTCTTCTGCACTGCTACTTGAGCCTGCAACGGTGCCACTCAAACTTGCTTATGTTCTAATGATTCTCTTCTTTAAGTAAACCCTAGTCTTTGTTTTCTTAAACCTACCTCAAAGATCTCTATGCGTTCTAACAAGATTATTTGTACAATTGGTTCACACTTAATTAATGATTAGATCAAACCAAAAGAAATTATGAAACTAATTAAAGGGAATAAACAAAACAATATCTTTTATTAACAATATAACAATTACATATACATAAAAGTTCATTACCCTTCACAGCTCACTAAGAAGTAAGAGCTATATACTTTATTTGTAAAACAGAGTAAAAACAGAGCTAATAAACGTCAATGTCCAAGAGAACCCCTTAAAAAGTTTCAATCAACTTCCTCAATCTTAGGCCCTGCACCAGCACCACCAGAACCGGCATTCCCATAGCCACCACCAGGCATGCTAGCGCCGCCACCCATAGGCACATCACCATCACCAGCACCCTGATACATCTTAGCTATGATTGGATTGCACAAATTCTCCAACCCCTTCAACTTATCCTCAAACTCCTCCACTTCCGCCAATTGATTCCGATCAAGCCACTCAATCGCTTCATCGATCGCCTTCTCAATCTTTTTCTTGTCTTCGGGATCCAATTTCCCAGCAAACTTCTCATCCTTCACAGTATTCTTCATATTATACGCGTAATTCTCAAGCGAGTTCTTCGCCTCAACCTTCTTCTTCACTTGCTCATCCTCGGCCTTATACTTCTCAGCATCCCTCACCATTTTCTCAATCTCTTCCTTACTCAACCGCCCTTTATCATTCGTAATCGTGATCTTGTTCTTCACTCCAGCCGTCTTATCCTCCGCCGACACATTCAAGATCCCATTCGCATCAATGTCGAAACACACATTGATCTGTGGGACACCTCTTGGGGCCGGTGGAATACCCGCAAGCTCAAATTTCCCTAAAAGATTGTTGTCTTTCGTCATCGGCCTCTCTCCTTCGTAAACCTGAATCAAAACACCGGGTTGATTATCTGAATAAGTCGAGAAAATCTGCTCTTTCTTGGTCGGTATTGTGGTGTTTCTCGGTATCAGAACTGTCATCACACCTCCAGCAGTCTCGATTCCGAGGCTGAGAGGCGTGACGTCGAGGAGGAGAAGGTCCTGAACCTTCTGGTTCCCTTCGCCGGTCAAAATCGCCGCCTGAACCGCCGCTCCGTACGCCACCGCCTCGTCAGGGTTTATACTCTTGCAAAGCTCTTTCCCATTGAAAAAGTCCTGCAAAAGCTGCTGAACTTTAGGAATTCGAGTCGACCCACCAACAAGAACAACCTCATGAACCCGACTCTTATCGATTTTCGAGTCCCGGAGACATTTCTCCACTGGTTCCATACATTTCCTGAACAAATCCATGTTCAATTCTTCAAATCTAGCTCTGGTAATGGTAGCATAGAAGTCAATCCCTTCATACAATGAATCAATTTCGATTGTAGTCTGTGTGGTTGAAGACAGAGTCCTCTTAGCTCTCTCACAAGCAGTTCTGAGCCTCCTCAAAGCTCTTGCATTCCCACTTATATCCTTCTTGTGCTTTCTCTTGAACTCTGCAACAAAGTGATTCACAAGCCTATTATCAAAATCTTCGCCGCCGAGATGGGTGTCTCCGGCGGTCGCTTTCACCTCGAAAATCCCTTCTTCGATTGTAAGCAGTGAAACATCGAACGTTCCGCCGCCTAAATCGAATATAAGAACATTCTTTTCACCGGAATTTGAAGCCTTTTTATCCAACCCATAAGCGATCGCGGCCGCAGTAGGCTCGTTGATGATTCTCATCACATTGAGGCCTGAAATCGCTCCGGCGTCCTTGGTAGCTTGTCTCTGAGAATCATTGAAGTACGCCGGAACAGTGATCACTGCGTTTTTGATCTTTTGCCCCAAATAAGCCTCTGCGATTTCTCTCATTTTGATGAGAACCATCGACGAAATCTCTTCTGCAGAGAATCGTTTCTCTTCGCCTTTGAATTTGACAACTATCAAAGGTTTGTCTGAAGGACCAGAGATGAGTTTGAAGGGCCAGAGCTTCATGTCGTTCTGGACCGAGGGGTCAGAGAATCGGCGGCCGATGAGGCGTTTGGCATCAAACACGGTGTTTTGTGGGTTCATAGCCACCTGGTTCTTGGCAGCATCGCCGATGAGTCGCTCAGTGTCAGTGAAGGCCACGTAGGATGGAGTGGTTCGGTTGCCTTGGTCGTTTGGGATGATCTCGACTCGGTCGTTTTGCCATACTCCAACGCAGCTGTAGGTTGTGCCGAGGTCGATTCCAATTGCTTTTCCTTCTTTGCCCGTGGACGCCATCGATGAAGATACTTAGCTCAAAAAAAAAAAACAGAGTATGAAACAGAATGAATGGAATTGAGTGATTTGGAGAATGTAGGAATTGTATTCGAATTGAATGGTTTGATTTGAGTTGGGTTGGGTTGTGGGTTGAGAGGTGATTGATTATATATATGGATTGTGGGTGTGAGGTGGGCTGATCGAGAGAGTTCGAGAGGATGATTGATCGGAGGGGGAGAGAAGAGAGGAATCGGGAAGAGACGAGAGAGAGAGGGGTCGACCCAGAGAGTTCTAGGGAGCGCGGGAAGGAATGTCTTGCTGGCGGTTGGGACGGGCTTCGGTTTGGGCTTGTTTGCGATGTTTGATTCTAACTAAAAATTAGTTTCTTAAAAAAATTTAAAACACTTATTATTTTTATATAATTTTATTATTATTTTTTTTGGATGAAAATAATTTTTAAAAACTTATAAATATAATTTTAATATTTTTTTTTTAAATTTCAGAAATTTGTTTTAGAAATGCAAACTAAATATGAATGTTTTTTTAAAAATCTTTTTGAGCGTGTTTGGACTTTTGAAAAACTTTAGAACGTGCCAAAAAATTAAGGATTGGACTTTCCTTCCGTCCAATTGGAGGGGACTAGCCCCATGGAGTTGTCACGAATTTTGTTTAGATAATTTGAATTGGTAAAATCTTTAGTATATATTATTTTTTAAAAAATAAAATTATATATAATCACAACATATTTAATTTATCTTTTTTGTTATCATAAAAAAGTTTTTTTTTTTAATTTTAAATACATTGTTGTTCATTTTTTTAGAAACAAACATGATAAATTAAATAGGTTATGATTATCGAATTGACTTAATTTTTGTGTGTGTAGATGATATACATGAAGAACTCAACAAATAAACGATTTAAATTATTGAAACAAAACACTTGATGAACCCTATAACCTAAACAACACTTTCGAGTCCCAAACAGCACTCTCGAGTCCAAATTAGAGGAAGCTAGCTAAATCCAAAATAAAAGAGTGATTTAAGTCAATTTCTATATTTTTTAATTTTCTCTTGCCTTTAAGTTGGAATTTCACCGCTGGGGAATACACATCGTCAAACGAATTGGCTGATTTTTTTACCTCCCACAAGTCTATATAACAAATAATGTATTCATCCAATAATAGATTAATTATCAATTAATTATTTATTTACTCATAAATTTTGAGTGAAAAATTTATGGACATATAAGTTCTCTAAATGAAAAATTTATCAGTAACTTATTTTCTTTTATTTTGTTTATACATGTAATTATGAGCTTTATTTATTAAATTAATAAATTTATTAATATAATAAAAAATTTATCATGCTGAATAATGTTTATGAATTATTTGTAAATAAGTTTGATTTGTAAGACTTTCTCGTAACTACCTCATAATATAGCTCACTATATCTTTAACAAAAATGGAAATCACAAGTTAAGCTATTGACGTGTAAGTAAGATCACGATTTTTCTTATGTAAAACTTTAACGTTATGTTTGATTGAGAGATTTAAAAAAAAAAAGTGAAAATATATGTGAAATGTGAATAAAATAAATCTAAATTTTATCTATTTTTTTCCTTTTTCTTTCCTATCTAAATATTTTCCTAAATCTTCCAACTAAATACAGCGTCACTTCCATTTTTATAACGTTCGTAACTATTTTTACTTTTTCTCAGTAATTTACAAGTATAGCTCGACCTCGGGTCGGCTAATCTAACCTGTGAAATTAGTGCCCAAGACTGCTAGTCAACTAAGCCCAGTGCGCCTTTTATGATGGTCTACCATGACCCATGGCCAAAAATTTTAGGCCCAAGCATTGCTTAACGGATTTGGCCCAAATAGGCTAGCAGGGTTTGTCCATGAGTAAAGTCTAACGATCGCAATTCAGGTCTACTTTTAGATTTTTGTTTGCTTAAGGGTGGCTTGCAAGCTCAGCAAGCTCAGCGCAAGCCCTAGGCCCATACCCACCGGTCCGGCTAAGGCCCGAATACCCTCTGGGCTTGGGCTTAATTTTATAGCTTGTGGCCAGACCGGCCCGGTCCGAATTTTAGTAGGAGTCCACAAGGCTAGACATGGGCTAGCCCGAGCCCGGGCCTGGGTGGGTCAGGCCGGACCAAATTTACATCCCTACCCTCTTTGTTATTAGAGTTTGGTTTCTCTCAAATTGTCATTTAAATTGGAGAGAACGTTTTGGTTTGGAAAGCCCATTTTGGAACTGATTCCGGTGATCCGAACCTTACACATTTCCTTGAATAAAATATTCATGCAAAAAAAAAAGATGATTGTACATCGGTAGTCATATGTTTGAATCATATTTGTTTTAAAAAATAGACAATAAATATAATTTTAAGAATAACCATTCAGTTTTTGTAATACAAATTTGATTTAAATAAATAGCTATTGATGTCCAATCATCTTGATTTTTTGCACAAATATTTTACTAAATGAGTCTTAAAAAATGAAAGGTTCGGATCATCGAAATGAGAGTTTTTTTTTTTAGTTTGTTTTAAATTTTATTAGGTTTTTAAATTATTAAAAAAATACAAAAAAAAAATGTAGAGTTTGACCTTTGTAATAAAATAAACTCTAATTTTAATTTTATCAATTTAAATATTATTTTTTTGGAGAATTCTACAATACACAACTCATATCATATGCACCATTTACGCAAATTTTTTTTTTAATTATGACTAATTTTGTTTTTTGTTATGACATTATTTTGAGATGTTTGGTTATAATTCATGTAGTGTTGGTTTATGACTCTTTTTTTTTCTTTTTTTTTGTTTTGATTTTTAGTTATGACTCAGAAAGTATTTGTTTTCAATTTTGACTATCAACCTCTTTCCGTTAAGTAAAATCAACGGAAAAATAATATTTTAATTATTAAATGGAAATGCATATAAAATATTAAAAATATTCCTTTCATTGAATTTAATGATTAAAAAATATATATATATTTTTAATCAATTTTAGTTAAAACAAAAACAGACAAATTATTTAGATTAAAAACAAATTAAAAAAATTGTTTTATTATAAGGAGAAGCATGAGTTTTTTTTTTTTTAATCCTAAAATATTTTATTTTATTTTTTTGCGATATCTTTAAAACATTAGTAAAAATTTTGGGGCTTAACCGAGTGCCTAAAGGATTAAAAATAAATAAATTTTAATAAACCTTTCTTCAGAAAATTTAATTTCTTTTCTTTCCAAATCACTCACTCGAAGATCTCAGTCAAGAAACTAGATTAACAATCTATAATATGAACCTATATCCGCCCTCAATTTGCTTCGATTGTGGCCTGTCTATCACCGGAGACAATTCTTCAGGTTAGAGATCCACAAGCTAGATATTCCTTCTTTCCCATCAATTTTCTTAATTTTATTTTTGGGATTGAATCAACACAAAAATGTATAATTGTTATGAAACTGTTTTTTTAGTTTTTTCAATAGGAAAATTCTAGTATACATCCCTTTAAAGAAAGGGTGTACGGATTTTAGTTATGTTATTTTTTTTTAATTATAATATTATTTTAATTTTGATTTATGAGTTTTTAGTTATGTCTTATGTTTTATTTAGCTGTAATATTTTTTTTTCTTTTTTAATTATGACTCCAAATTAAAATTATACAAATTTTCTTTTTAATTATATGATGCATATGCACCATAATGTTCCCCTTTTTAATAATTTAATTGCAGATGTTTATTTATTTAGTGTTGTATATAATTAAATTTTATTCCTAATTATGAAATTGGGATTTTATTGTCATTATGTACTGAAATGAGGAATCACTCCCTCGTACCATTTTCCACACTCCCTTTAAAGAAAGGGTGTACGGATTTTAGTTATGTTATATTTTTTTTAATTATAATATTATTTTAATTTTGATTTATGAGTTTTTAGTTATGTCTTATGTTTTATTTAGCTGTAATATTTTTTTCTTTTTCTTTTTTTAATTATGACTCCAAAAATTAAAATTATACAAATTTTCTTTTTAATTATATGATGCACATTACAAAAAAATTGACTTTTTGCGACGGTAAAAATACCGTCGTTAATACTCCTAATGCCGTCGCTAATACTTTTTGCGACGGCAAAATGACTTTTTGCGACGGCAAGAGGGGGGTCTCAACTGCAGGGGTTGCAAAAGAGTTTTTGCGACGGTAAGTGCCGTCGCTAATGTTTTGCGACGGCATTTTTACCTTTTTGCGACGGTACCATGCAGTCGCTAATAACGTTTGAAATTTCTTAACTTTTTTGCGACGGCCCTATTTTACCGTCGCTAAAAAAGTTATTTGAGACGGCAAAAAACACCGTCGCCAATAGTCTTTTTTTTAAAAAAAAACACTGTTTTTTGCGACGGGTGGTGCCGTCGCAAAAAGTATAAAAAATGAAATTTTCTATTTTTTGCGACAGTGTAATGCCGTCGCAAAAAATATTAAAAAATAATAAAATTTCTATTTTAAATAATAAAATTTCTATTTTTTGCGACAGTATAATGTCGTCGCAAAAAGTAAAACCTGTAACAAAATTAATAAAAATATTAAAATTTTCTATTTTTTCCGACGGTGGTGCCGTCTCTCTCTCTAAGAGCTGATTATTTACATTCTATTCACAAAAACATCATAACAGAAAATTCGCAAATACTCTGCTTTTTTGAGACGGCATTTTCTGCCGTCACAAAAAGTGACTTTTTGATACGGCAAGTGTGTCGTCGCAAATAGTTCCGTCTCATATACCCAGTTTTCTTGTAGTGGCATATGCACCATAATGTTTCCCTTTTTAATAATTTAATTGCAGATGTTTATTTATTTAGTGTTGTATATAATTAAATTTTATTCCTAATTATGAAATTGGGATTTTATTGTCAGTATGTACTGAAATGAGGAATCACTTCCTCATACCATTTTCCACACTACCTTTTCATACTCTATTTTATGGTCCCATCCCGGCCCTACAATGATAATCTTACAGGTAATGCTATATGCATTAATTAGTACACTAATTAGTGTATCAATTGATGATATGACATAATTTAAGATATTTTTGGTATTTGTAATTTGTATAATGAGTGGGGTCAATAATAATGTCATAACTAGTGCTGATATATTAGTTAGTACAGTAATTAGTG